GATGTCTCACCCTTTCTAAAAATAGACCATGACTCATCCTTTCTCTAATGGCAATCATTCCATGAATGAATCACGATTTGTTTTTCAAAAGAGTGAGACAACATTCCCAGACGAAAAGGGAAGGGGTCGTTAATTTTTATCATGTCTAAGACATGATAAAAATTAACAAAAAGTTTTTTTTTTTTTTTTTTTTTTTTTTTGAGTTGTAGAATTTTTCTCAGCTCTGAAAATTTTTTTCCAGCCGACTCGAGACTTTACCATTTATATTTACGAATAGTCTTTGGATTATTTATTTATTTTCTTTTAAAAAGAAAAATTCTGAGCTAGACCTATCTATTGGCTTAACATTCTGGTCATAGAAACAGTCTAGAATCTCATTTTTTTTTCGAGGCTAATGCACGGGTTCTCCAATCAAAAGGGTTACTATAAAGGGATTGGTTTGAATGCATTTATCTGCAAATGTTGTAGGATTCTGTTGTTGAGAAGGGGGTATATTATTATTATTATTATTATTATGATGATGATTGTGGCAGATTCGTTTTCTACATGGAAGTCTAATCTCCTCCGAAGACCTTTTCTGGGGATCGTCGATAGATGGTTTTTCAATAGGAATCGTTTCCCTCGGATCCTCAAGAGATAGAGGGGGGTCCTGTCTTGAGACATGGAGCGGTCTCTCTCCTCCTCCTCCTCCTCGAGAAGTCTTGAGAAAGGGAGAGGATTTTCGGTTCCCTTATTCTTGAGGGGTCTTGACAAATTGAGAGGTCCCTCCTCTTCGAAAGAGAGAGAAGTTTTGGTTCCCTTATCCTCGAGGGGTTTTGACAAATCGAGAGGTCCCTCATTTTCGAGGGGTCTTGATAAATGGAGAGGTTTTTCATCTTCGAGGGGGTTTGATAAAGGAAGAGGTCCCTCCTTCTCGAGGGGTCTTGATAAATGGAGAGGTTTTTCATCTTCGAGGAGGTTTGACAATGGGAGAGATTTCTCCTTCTCGAGGGGTCTCTCTTCCTCAAGGGGTTTTGAGGAAGGGAGAGGTTTTTCATCCTCGACGGGTTTTGACAAACGGAGAGGAATCTGAACAGGCTTCTCCTCATCCCCATCATTATCGAGGAGGATGAGGATAGGCTTTTGGAAAGGTTTTTTCTTTTTCTTCTGAACAGGCTCCTCTTGATGCTCGGGGAGAGGGATGGGGTAGTTGTTCCACCATTCTATTTTTTCTTTTTCTTGCTCGAGGATTTTTTCAAAAGTCGTGGCCTCTCTATGATGAGACGAAGGAGGAGAGTCCTCGAGAAGAATATAATAGGTATTCTTCCCAGTCTTCTCGATCGAGAGAGGTTCGTGCAAACATTTGTGCAACCATTCACTAAAATGAACGAGAATCCCTTTTGTCTTCTCAAGACGATCCATAATCCTATTCATTTGCGAGACGGTTAGAAAGTGGGACGTGTAAAAATATTTGGCTCGTTTCATTAACAAAATTTGTGCATCCAAAGGTGGAATGTCACGAGCCATCAACACGTTTTCGTCGGACAAAAATTCGTCCCGCATCTTTTGATAACTCCCCACGGTATAATAACCCGCACATTTTGAAAAATCGGAGGCTTTCAGGTAAACGACTCCTTGGATGATATAAAAGGAAAGATCAACATATTTATATTTGAAAGGAATACACGTAGTGAGCTGGGGATGCCTCCTCATGATCCACTTGGACAAAAATACGACTTTGGGGCTCTCCCCTTTTATTTATAGAGAGAAAGAGAGTGTGACCTTCCCTTCCCTCCTCCTCCTCTCTCCCTGCTTCCTCTCTATCTCTGGACGTCCTTGGATTGGAAAGGGTGACTTTGAAAAAAAAAGAAGGTCATGGTTGGATAATTTTTTGTTTATTAAATTATTACTTTCACTTCCTCATTCCCACACACATTCATCTTTTTAAGAAAAGAAAAAGAGGTCATGGAGATAAGATTTCTTGGAAAGAAGAGAGAGAGAAACAAAAAAAAACAAATAAAACGGACGTCATAGAGCCTCTATGTGTGTCTGTGTGTGTCTATATAGATATATAAAAAGACGAGAGTACTGGGCGAGATCATTTCTTTTCCATTGGGAGCCATGTCGCTATTAGACGTTTTTCCAACTCAACGGATTTCGAACGGGGAGGATTTGAAGACGCTAAAGCAAATCTCCAACTTGAAAATTTTTTTGGCGTGTCATTGTGCGACATTTATTCCGCATTTACCACCTCATCAAGCGATCGTTTCTTTCAACCAAGATGTCGAATCCTCCAACCTGCTCGTTCAGAATATATACAGAAATTTATTCGAATCGCAACAAACGAAAGAGGAATCTCCCTTCTCTTGGAATCGGATGGATCGAGCTTTGAGACGGCCCATTCAAACAGACCGGCGATATACAGATCCGCGCACGAGTTTTCGGTGGAAGAATATTTTTCTCACGAAACGATATTTTACGTTTGGAGTGAGAACGACGGCTGAGGACGAAGTTCATATTGTTCAAACCACAGCCGCTCCTCTCGCCTATTACGAATCATCGTCCCCCAATCTGAAGGAAAGAAGTTTTAAAGTCAGCGACAGGATGAAATATAAGAAATATATTCTAAGACCTTTTCAAAACTATGTCGTTCCCCCGAAAACGCAATATCTCATCGTCACAACCCAGAAGAGTCTCTTTCTCGTCGATCGGTGCTCGTACTCGCTTTGGAAACAATTGAAAGAGGAGATTTCTTTCCAATCGCCGATGATGTTTCAAGAAAAAGAAGAAGAAAACCCTCCGCCACCTTTACCCATCCCTTCCTTAGATGATAAGAGGAGCTGGACCAAACCGTCGTCATGGCCCGAAACAAAATCGACCCGGCAACGGAATGAAATTGAAGTCATCACAATTGAAGATGAGGAGGAAGAAAAAAAATTACCTCTTAAAAAACGGTCGACTTACCGGAACCTACCTGGCGTGCAAGATCCGCTTCAGAATCCAGAAGCTTCTTCTTCTTCTTCTTCTTCTTCTTCCCCCGACTTGTTCAAACAGGCAACCTCTTTCGGACTCCTCACAGACAGAACCTCTTCCAGTATCCTCTTCTTCTTCTTCTTCTTCTCCTCCAACCTGTCCCGACATCGTAGAGGTAGAATGTCAGACGGGTCCACAAGCTTCAAAAAGTCCCGACATCGTAGAGGTAGAATGTCAGCCGGGTCCACAAGTTCCAACAGGTCCAGAAATCATGGAGGCAGAATCACAGCCGGGTTCACAAGTTCCAACGGGTCCAGAAATCATGGAGGTAGAATTTCAGCCGGGTAAACAAGTTCCAACGGGTCCAGAAATCATGGAGGTAGAATCGCAGCCGGGTCCAGACATCCTAGATCCCTCCACTCATCCCAAAGAGACTCCAAGTGTTTCAAGACAGCCTTGTGAGGATCCAGCCCTTCCCGTATGGAATGATTATATGGACTTACAAAATTTGGTGCAACAGGAAGGAGAAGAAAATAATCATACGGATGGGTGGGTCAAAGACTGTTTAGATCATTTAACCTCGAATGAAATTGAACTGTTATGGAATTGCATTTCTGAAATCACATCGGAAATGGGATAAAAACCAAAACAAAAAAAAATTTTTTTAATAACAAATTGGAGGAGGGTCATGATGTCAATTAAAAAAAATATTATATAGAGTCCAATCTTGGTGGTTCACTTCAGTTTTCCAGCATGAGGTGATCCACGTTTCCCGAAATATGGATCCCATTCCAAGAGAGATTGTGTGTAGAGCCTTCACTTCAGTTCTTTTTTTTTCCTACCAAGAGGAGAGGGTCCCCAAAGGGCTACCCATGTCCAAAGAGAGAAAGTGTAGAGCGTTCATTTCAGTTTTTTTTTCCAAGTTTAGGGGAGGGAGGTCTCAAAATGACACCCCCCCATTTTCAAAGAGAGATGGTGTAGAGCGTTCATTTCTGTTTTTTTTCCAAAGTTAGGGAGTTTTTCAAATGGCTACCCATTTCAGAGAAGAGAAGAGAGAGAGAGAAGAGAGAGAGGAAGAGTTTGAGCGTTCATTTCAGTTTTCCAACATTAGAAGGTCCCAAAATACCTTCTGAATTCAAAGAGAGATCGTGTAGAGCGTTCATTTCCAGTTCTCCAAGATCAGAAGAAGAGGGTCCGCTTTTCCCAAAAGGGCTTTCCGCATTCAGAGACAGCGAAATGCAGACTTCAGTTTTCTCCCTCCCCAAGAATAGAGGGTCCCAAAATGGCTTCCCATTTCAAAGAGAGAGGGAGAGGCGTTCATTTCCATTCTCCAAGATAGGGTCGTCTGCTTTTTCCCAAAATGGCTTCCCAATTCAAAAAGAGAGAGAGAGAGAGAGAGTAAAAGGGTGTGTAGAGCGGTCATGTTCATTCTCCAAGATAGGGTCGTCAGCTTTTTCTCAAAATGGCATCTCCCCATTCAAAAAGAGATCGTAACCAATTTTTTCCAGTTTTTTCCAAGATGGGGGGAGAAGAAAACCTAGGATGGAATAACACGACACACAGAGAGAAAGAGAAAAAAAAACGCCATCTTGTCATTTTCTGATAGGGTACCGGTGTTCGAATACTTTTGTGACCGACTGTAATTTTTGTTTCCATGCTATACGTCTATTAGACATATAGCTTCCCCTACTAACACCCTTGGGTTTTAGTAAAGAGACGCTCTCTTTTATCGTAATGATTTTGGTATTCCTATCTTTCCTTCTTCATAGGCCCCTTTTTTTTCTTTCCCTCTATTATTTTTTGGGCCATTTATTTTAAATTTTATTTTGTCTCCGCTCTTCTTCCTGGCCTTTCGAACTCGTACGAAATGTATGAAGTTCCTTTTTACTCTCCTCTGAAATACGAAATCGCCCCCTTTCTATATACCAGAGAGTATTATACTTTATACTCCGTGCTATATACCTCTCCTTAACACCTAAGCTTGATTTTTCGCCCATCGGTGCAGAAAGACTTAGCGGGTGCAAAATAAGACATCTGTCTACTTTGTGTGTCTGTTACGTGGCCTGCGTTGTCTTTCGTCACTTTAAGCTTTAGCAGTATTGTGAGTTTCTTTTTAATTTTATAAATAAAAGGGGCAATTAGAAACAAACATTTCTTTTCTGATTGGGTAATCATACAATGGTTGATCCGCTGAGTATTCTTCGTGAATACAATGTAAATAAAAAGCCTATCACGGAGAGAAATAATCAGATTATTTTTGGTGAATATTCATGGCCTAAAACTGTGGAGACAAATTATTTGGAATTATGGCGGTGAGTGGAACATAGTTTCGTAATACATATGTTTTGATTACACTTTTTGGGGAAAGTGCAGAATCAGCCACTGCTTGAATTTCACAAACTTGGTATCCATGTACACATCGACCTATTTTCACTTAAAAAAAATCAGAGAATTTGACAAATTCGGCATTGCTCACCCCGTTGACTTTGTCCATGTACACATCGATGTATTTTCACTCAAAAAGTCAAAGAAAATTGACACAAATGCAATTTTTCTTACTCTTGTAAAAAGCGCCAAATAAGTGGGTGATTCTGCCCTCCACCCCGAACTTCTTGTGAAAGTTTGGAATATTTATGAGTGATAATATTATGTACAGATCTAGTTAGCATTTTTAGAGGTGTGTAAATCATTTCACTTCAAGGGTATGGAAATTTGTTATTTTTTTCCTTTTTTATTTCTAGAAAAAAGGCAGCAATTAAAAAATACTATACTTTAGAAAGTCTCTTATTTTTCTTGAAAAATGCCCACTTATTTCATCCAGAGTATGTGAGAAAAGCTGAGGTATGTTAAAACAAATTCATTTTAACATTACTTTCATTTCTTCTTCTTATTTATTATTTTCTTGTTTATTATACTAATGTATGCTAAGATCATTAATACTTTTAAAAACGGTTTTATGTGAATTATATTTGCAGGCAGAAAACATACCTGCTGTGAGACGACCTGATCGAAAGGTAGTTTAACCTCGTTCTGTGCTTTGAATTAAGAATTCAAGTTAAATATGTCTTTTCTTGTTCTGTTTTTAGAATTATATTTTTTAGTGTAGCACTTATGTAGTAAGGGAAAATTTTGGAACTACTCTGATATGCTCCCTCAAGTCGCCAAATATCTTTGCCGGGAAACTCCACGCTGCCATATTGCTATCTAAATTTTTTGTCTACATTTTGAACTTAAATAATAAAATGTCTCCCTAACATAAGTGCCTAAAATGTCTCCAAAAACACGGTTTTTGCGAATGCAAAAACCACATTTTGAACACACAATTTAAGCTAAAAATTCAAAACAAAAACAAAAAATTTAGATAGCAAAACCGTAAATTTCTAACCAAAATTATTTGACAAGAGTCCATGTACACAGCGATATGTTTTAACTTAAAAAAACATCTACAAATGGCACAATCTAGGCTACGAACTACACAGACCTCTCTTTAATAAATTAACATAACAACAATAAATTTCAAAGAATACCATGTACACAGCATCCTGTTTAAACTTAAGAAAACATCTACGAATTGCACAACTTAGGCAACAAACGATTCTACGAACTACGCACGCCTCACTTTAATAAATTAACATAACAGCAATAAATTTCAAAGAATACCATGTATACAGCATTCTGTTTCAACTTTAAAAAACATCTACGAATTGCACAATTTAGATGGTACGTACTAATCAACAAAATAAATTTCAAACAATTAAAAAAACAACAATAACGATGAAAATTCATACTAAAAAATCAATGAACATAACATTCTACAAAATAAGAACAAGAATAAAATAACATGCACTTACCATGAATTAATGCTTTTTCAAATAGCAGAAATACCAATTTCGTACCACCTTTAACATGCCTTCACGTAATCACTATCGTATTTATATGACAGCCAGACACACTATTCAGAAAATTCATACTGTGGTTCACAAATAAATATTCAAAACATTTCTTTTTCCTTAACCCTTGTAAATTTCCAGCCATCCGAAAAGATAGTTGTACAAGGTTCATCCCTCTTTAATACACTTCACCGTTTTCTTATCATGATGCACAGCCACTAAAAATAATCTCTCAGACCCTCTTTCCACGTCTCCAAATACCCACTGCTCCTCAACAGGATGGCCGTGACAATATTTCCTTTTGCCGAACTTCAATTCAACAACTTCCATCATTTTATTTTTCTCCCCTAGCTTCTCAGACACAGAGCATGACTTTTCAACGTCAACAGGGTTGCCAAACAACACGCAATTGTGCCAAAAACCAGCGCAGAACACATATCGCCACATTTGGTGAAATAAGGGCTTATATCAGAGTTGTACCAAAATTTTCAGTGAATTTTCGTATTGAATATTGGTTTCAAAATTCATTTGCTAAATGCCTTTTTATTAGTAATTAAAAGTTAACTGTTTTATTTAGAATAGATGGTAAAAATATATTTACTGGTGCTCCTTGGTGAAAATTTGTGATTTTTGGTAGTACATGGACACTGAGTTAGTGCAATTCATTGACTTATTCAGTGTGACTTTGTGTAGTGGCTTATTTTTTCAAAAATCGCCACTACACAAATTCAAAATAACAAGTTGAAGAATTGCACAAACTCGATATCCATGTACACATCGACCTATTTTCACATAAAAAACATCAGAGAATTGCACAAACTAATCATGGTGCACTCTCTTGACTTTGTCCATGCATATATCGATCTATATTCACTTAAAAACTTAAAGGAGCAGCCAAAAAAAAAAAAAAAAAATATATATATATGTATATATATAATCTAAATAAGCTACATTTTAAATCAAACAATAAAATAACATAAAAAAGCAAAGTCATCTTAGCACTACATTAAAGGAAATACCCACGTATCTTATTTATGAATTTGGGCGTCCAACATTCGACCATACGCATTTCCTTCCTACAAACAGGACACTTAATAATGGCCACTAAGTAAACCTTCATTTACACACAAGTTAATTATGCTTTTTTCCCTTTCGTTCCAAATTGTGCAGAAACTTCAAATGAATTTGACCACATTCAGCCATTTTACCATGTAAACCACAAAATAACAACGTATTTCTTATCCAAAATCTGATACAAACTTTCCAAATCTTTTCTAATCATTCAAATTGACTACAATCACACAAACAATTATGTCATAATAGGGTTTTCATAACATTGATCTGCTCAGGTTACCACAACAAATTGGTGATAAAGGAAAACGGTTGATCTTTAGATTATGGTAACTTGGCGATTTTTTGGCGAAAATTTGGCGACCAACTCTCCTACAGCAACCCTCTATTTTTTTTTTCCCTTTCCCCGCCGCCATTTTGTCCTCACGAAGTAAAGACATGTTTCTTTTCTTTTTATCTACTGAACACACTTCTTCCAACAATCTCCTACTAGCCGAATTACACTTATGCTAGAAATTTTATCTAACAAAACTGCTTAATCATGACAAATATTCACTGCAAAATTGGGAAAAAAAGTGCACAATACCATACTCCTTACGCATTTTTCAAAATAACACATATACATAAACCATGTACACGTCGACTTATTTTTACTTAAAAAAACATCCCAGAATTACACAAAAGGGGCATTGCGCACACTCTTCACTATATCCATGTACACTGCTTTTTTCTCATAAATTAGAAAAATTTCACGAAAATACATGACAATTTTCTGAATCTTAAACCCGGTAAAAAGAACATATATGAAATTACCTGATCGCGAAAAAGTATATACCCTTTCTAAATATGAACATTTCCACGTATAATATAAATAAAATTTCCAAAACTTTTACCTCTAAATCATCCATTATATTATAAATGTCACCAACGAATTCATACCGCAAGCATTACAAATACTTAATGTCAAATATTTAAATTATTTCCATGCACGTTTACTTCAACTAAAACGTATATACCAATTCCTACAAACATAAAATTCACAAAAAACTATCATTTAATTAAAATATCACTAAACCATGTACACGTTGACTTATTTTTACTTAAAAAAAAAATCCCAGAATTGCACAAAATTGGCATTGCGCACACTCTTCACCATATCCATGTACACTGCTTTTTTTTCTCATAAATTAGAAAAATTTCACGAAAATGCATGACAATTTTCTGAATCTTTAAACCCGTTAAAAAGAACATATATGAAATTACCTAATAACAAAAAAGTATATACCCTTTCCAAATATCAACATTTCCACGTATAAAATAAATAAAATATCCAAAAACTTTGGCCTCTAAATTATCTATTATATTATAAACGTCACCAACGAATTCATACTGCAAACATTACAAGTACTTAGTGTCAAATATTTAAATTATTTCCATGCACGTTTACTTCAACTAAAACGTATACCAAATTCCTACAAACATAAAATTCACAAAATAACTATCATTTAATTAAAAATATAATTAAATTCAAAAACACTACTTAAAATATAAATAAGCAGATACATTAAAAAAAATTAGCTTACAATCCTAATTACTTTAAACTAAATCATTGCTAATAACAATTTTCCCAATAATACCAAATTACTTTACTTCCACCTTACATTTAGAACAATGCATAAAAATAATATCGTCAAATAATTAAAAGCCCACCAGCGGCCGAGCGGTAAAGTCACTGAACACTGGTAGTTCGGTCCGAGGTTCGAATCCCGCGAACGGGCTGGCTGCTTGGGCGTTTTCGTGGTTTTCCTCATGTGTAATGTGTATACAAGCCAGTTTCCCTTAGAAAGTCCTCCACGAAGGCATCCCTCCTCTTAGGCAGATAGCCCTCGAGGCTCTGCCATAATCACACACACACACAAATAATTAAAAATACTAACTTACCTAATCTTCTTCAGAATCTTGCTTACATGGTGGATACACTTTTATTATGGATTCAATAAAATTATTGAACGATTTTTTCTGCGAATTTTTCCTCCACACTTCCTCCGCTAAATAAAAAGCAATTAAACCTACACTCATGCACCATTCAACCAATTCTTTTGAATTATCACACAAACGCATTAAAAATCTAGAATCCACTTTAGACAGCGCCATACAATCCCAAAATTATTCAACCCTACTTCACACAACACACAATGAAGCTTAATACAAAATAATATACAGCCAGAGATATTTTTCCAAATTCCCCCCTTTTCCGATTAAAGAACCGTAATTCATCCATTAATATCACATGACATATCCCATGGCCTTAGTGCATAAAATTGGGCGTCAGGGGCTTTAGGGCATAAAAATTCTATGTAACTGTATGCCAGTATTGAAAGAAACAATCAATCTGATAAGAAATGGCTGTGACTTGTTTTGAAAATGAGGCGTAAAAGGTTACCAGCGAGGATATTCCATTTGGCATCAGTTTTACCATTTTTGGCGACTTTACATTTTCCCTCACACAAAATAATGCGTAATCGGAACTGAGTACTGCTCACATTATTACCAAAGTCCCAGGTAGTAACCTTTATCGCCTCCAAAATGTCGCCAAACTACCAGTTACCATATTCTAAAGAGCAGCCAGGAAAACAATGAAACAACAAATTGGCGATAAATGAAACAACTTATTGATAATCCAAGGAGCACCTGTAAATCTACTCTAACGTGCACACTCCCTTGACTTTGTCCATGTGCATCTGTTTTCATTTAAAAAAGTCAGAGGAGCAGCCAATTCTACAGTAGAGCCAAACAAAAAATGGTACTTTTCGGTTTCGCCGACGCAAATCTTGCCAAGCAGACTTTATTGCCAACAACACACAGTATACACATAAAAAGTATTAACATATGTTAGTTCTAAGAATTTTTTATTTTGAAGGCATAAACATTTTAATATTGTTAAAAATTTTGTAAACAGACAATAAATTTGTAAAAAAAACATTAAGAATTTATTATGCTTTCATGGTACATATCACGTGACTTTAAGTGATCTCATCTCACGTAAACTACGC